GGTATTTTTCTACCATGACAGACAGCTCGGAGGGTGCCGTGCCCTGCCGTGTGTGGGGCTGCCTCAGGGGCAGGGGGAGGCGTGGGGCAGAGCCTTGGCCACTGACACAGAAAGCTCCAGAGACACCCATGGCACCAGGTGCCTCCATGGCCTGGTGGGTTTTTTGGACCCTTCTGAAAAACAAAAGCCATGGGACCACAGGGCTTCTTTTCCTACGTTTCAGATAAAACCTCCTGGTGAGACTGTAAGGCAAAGTTTGCAAAGATGATCAATAACTCAGAAGGCAGTTATTGACTTCTTTAACATGGAAAACGACATTTTCCCCATTCTAAGAGATGATGTCTTTTGCTCTAATGGTATAAGACTTGTTACTCCTACCTGCTATTTTAATTTTCTTTGCACAATTACTCCCTACTTATAATTACAAGAACAATAGCGTGATACACACGAGAAATTTAGGAGGCTTATTATGAAAATATAAACAGTATCAAGTATCTCTTTCTTAATAATTCTTAACCAGAACGATTTGGGGGAGAATCAGCATTTCTAACTAGAAAAATCAATTTATTTTTCAATTAAAAAATTATATTTCATTTACCTCAAAAGTGTGTTCTTAAACCTAACGGAAAGGGTAGTGGATTTTTATAGGGTTTTTTTCTTCAGTTTGTCCCTGTGGAATTTGAATACCAGCACTGCCTTTCTTATTCTAAGTTTCCTCTGCAGGCATTTTGCTAAATATATATATTGCATGTGTATATATTATAAATATATACCATATCTATCCACTGATAGATGTATACACTGTTACAAAAAGAAGAGTAAGTTGTTACAGAAACTTTACATTTACATTTTTATATATATATTTATAGATATTTATATATATATATATAAAACTCTCCCCCGCTACATTTGGTACAAAGAATAAATCAATCTCAATGGACAGCAGTTTTCTCTCCAGGTGGGCTGAACAGCAGATTATCACCGGAGGCATCAAATTGTCTGCGCGAGACACGGGCTCCATTCCTGCTCTCTGTTGATTTCAAAGCAAACACTGCATTTTCTGAACATAAGGCAGTAGGAACAGTGGTGGTTAGACAATAAATGTTATTCTCCTATAGTATCTGTGCAGGTCATACATTTAAGAACAGCCCTGGCTCATATGCTGAACATTCAAGTGCACCTTTACAGCAACAGCACGTCTTACATAAGGGTTTGATCCTCAAGTGGTTTGTCTGTCAGTGAGCTGTGGGTTACTGGCAATGCTCAAGGAAAACCTGACAGCAAGGGCACAACATCCCTGGATAACAGCAGCAGGCACATCCCCTCAGCTGGGAGAAAGGCAGCCATTTCCATGGAAAAAGAGAGAATGGCCTAATTACAGATGTTTCCACTACATACTTGGCTGTAAGATTTCCATCATATTTCACGTCCTGTACACCTGAATCCTATCCAAAGGGTTTGCAGAGACACAGTGTCTCCAGACCTACAGAGGAACCACCCAGGGTTCCTTTTCTCTGCCTTAGAAGTAAAGGAAAAAAAAAATATATATATATATAGCATAATGAACTTTCTGGAAAGCAATGCTCCCAAAGGAAAAGCATTTCCACTCCAGTTAAAGATGGTGTTAGGAATAGGAAATTTTAGCAAGTTTAACATTCAGCTGCAGGAGCAACTCAGACTTCTACAGATATTACAGACCTGATGCTCAAGGTGCCAAATTACCTGGACTGCAAGAACATCCCTGCACATCACGTTGTTAACCTGACACACATTGGAGAGCTCATAAAAAATGCAACTCTCACACAGCATTAGCATCGTCCTTACAGAACTGCACTCCCCTGCAAACATTAATTGAGTAATACAGTGTTCTGATTTCTTTTTTTCACTCTCTCCTGGATTCTGCTTTCTGCTCGAATGGAGACTACAGCCCCTTGCTGTGATTGCCAATTATATGAAAAAGGGCTGAATCCATTTGGATGGCTGATAAGGAATGTCTTGATGAAACTATAACCACATGCACCACCCTCATAGCATCTGCCCTCCAATAGCCTACAAAATATCCACCTCCTGAGCACAATGGCAATAATCACCCATCTTGGTGACTTGAACATTTAAATGATTTCATATGGTACTCTGCAAAAAAGAAATCAGTTTACATCATGTTATTCTGTGAAGCCAAAAATGGAAAAAAAATTAAAGCGGGAGAGGGGAAAAGAGAAAGGAAAAAAAGGAAAAATAGAAGATTGGAGATAATTGCAAGGTTTGACTTGCTTGCATTCCCTCAAACTCCAGCTGCAATCTTGCCACGTGCATGGTAATTGCAGAGTGTGTTAATACAGGGAATCTTCTGATGGGGAAGCTCAGAGATGGCTTTGATTTTACAGTGGCTGAAATGATCTTCGGAGCCAGTGTTTTCTCCTGAATCACATAAATTAAAGCTGGGAAATCCCATCCTGATAGTCTAATGTAATAATTTCCAACCCTTGGGCTACATACTTGTTAGAACTACATTAAGTCAGGATTTTAAATATTGCTGAGGGGCATGTGAAAATTCAGTGAGACAGGGTGAACTCGTTATGGCATGAGGCACAAAGTCATCACTCCTCAAATGGGATTGAGGGCCTGGGAAGAACCTCCCTGAAGGCTGCCTGCCACCAGGGCTATCCTGCTTCCCTGGTGATCCTGCTCCAGCTGCTCCTGCCTGGCTGTGCTGCTGAGGGTTCAGGGCTGCTGTGCCAACTTGGAGAGTTGCAGCAGGTGCTTTAGACAGTCTTCTAGCTCTGCATCGCTCCTGACTCCACTGCTTAAAATCTGTTTAAGGGCATCTCTCTCTCCCTCTGCCCCATCTATTTCACCTGAGCAGAAACAGGGTGGGCTGCTAAATAAGAAAAGCAGCTGCTGAAAATGGTGGGCACCACTGAGCCCAGGGTGTCCTTGTGGCAGTGCTAATAACTCCACTTTATTACAAATATCCCTACAGCTTTCAATCACTGCAAACTGAAGTCAAACAAAGTAATTTAAAAATGGGAGGCTATTGTATACTTGCCCTCTGGTCAAACCACCATAACACACAGGCTTGCAGAGTCACGTTAGCTTTTCCTCGCAGGAAAAGCAATATAATTGTCACAAGTAGCACAGGCTTTCTTCATTTCCTACCAGCTGCCTACGTGAAAGAGCTGAGTACACGGCCCACGCTGGGCTTCCAAACAAGCAACTGCAAAGGAACAGCACTGAGAAACAACCGATGTCGGCTCACAGCGAAATCCGAAACCAAGCGGGCACAGACGGGACTGCTGGGAACGGAGCGAGCCCGGGCACTGGCACGGCACTGCTCGGGGAAGGTGCAGACAACAAAGCCAAGCTCAGGACCACGTGGAGCTCATGCGTATTTCGGGGTGTACTTTTATCTCATGCTCAGTATTGCGACATTCTAAAATACTTAGCATCAGGAGTTCGTCATAAATATTTAGAAACACTGAATGGTAACAGCGGTGAACTTGTTCACGTTGCTAACACACTGGATGTAGTTGTACATTAAGCACCAGCAATAAGTTTCCTTTTTGCCAAACAATTATGTCAGACAAACATCTGGTTGTAGACAACATGGCTTCTGCATCAGACTAATACAGTTCTTATAGACACAGTCACACACATACACAAAATTACATTTCAAGGCTGGATATACTGTTTAATAATGCTACCACTCCAATTTACTTCAATAGCTGCAGCAGCATTTGTTTGTTGGGTTGTTTTTTCTCAGAAAAATTAAAGAGATAGTGGCAAACAACGCACTTTACTCAGTTGTGTTATTATTTCGTAGAGTACTGAGTGGAAGATGCTGTAAGAATGTGCAGCAGACTTTCTGGGTTGTGTCAGACTATGGGAACATTCCTTAAAAAAATACCTTCCCCCTGCAAAGTCAGAATAACTCATTTTTTGAAAGTATATGAACTAAAACCCAGTAATAAAACAAGAGGAAATATTAGCCCAAAGCATGGTGATTTCCCACAAGAAGAGCATGGCCTCTAAGATTGCCTTTCCTGGCAGACACAATCAGGATCAAAGCTAGAACAAAAAGAGTTAATACTGTCTCGGAAAAAAAGAAAAAGGAAGAAAGAAAAAAAGCCCATGGCTCTCGTGCGGCAATCATCACATCTCTTTTTCCAGTGATATAAACATCTTTGTTTGTTAGGCACTCCAAGTTCATGTCTCCAATGTTATTCCAACATTTACTTTTCTCAGTGTCTCACTGCCTGTATAATTTTCTTTTAATTAAGACTGGAAACATTCTGGAAAGCTTCTTTGGATAATGCACTTCATTTGTGTGTTGTTTCTCATCAGCTGAACTGCATATTACCAAAGAAGGCTGCAGAGAGTATTTCCTGTAATATGAAAAGATTCTGTTGAAGATATAGGGAGCACTGCCCTAGAAAGTTACTACTTTTTTTTTTTTCCCCCAGAAAAATAAAAAAAAAAAAAAAAAAAAAAAAAAAAAAAAAAAGAAAAGGAAAAAGAAAATGTTCTTCAAGCTGTTGGCGTGATGAGTCCTGTTTGGCCTGTTCCATGAGCTGTATGTCATCCAGCACACCATTGTTGTCCTGGCTCAGGAATGATGCATCCAGCCCTGCTCCAGGAGGCCACCTCTTGCCTTCCTGGAGTGCTCCCACGTGTTGTGTGTGGCTGCTCAAGCCCAGCACACAGCCCCTTCCTCAACAACCTCAGCCTTGGACAGCACGCTGACCTTCCAGCCATAAACAGTTGTAGTAGAAGAGCTATCTCCAGACAAATATCCACAGAAGCTCTGCAGAATGGTCCATTTGAATTCTTGTCCTTGTAAGGAGATGTGCTGTTTACAAGAAACACAATTAATCAAAGGAAAAAAAAAAAGACCCTACTGTACAATATTTACATCTAGAAGCTGGCCCAGTATTTGGTCCATAAAATCAATTTTAAAAAAAATCATATAGGAAGTTATCCAGTCCCATAGGATCTGTCCATCATCAGCTGTTGGTAAAGGTCCTTCCAGGGGAGGCCTCAGGCCTGTAATCATATTTATTCAGTGTACTGGGATAATAGGTTGTTGTGTACACATTGGTTTGCTGCAGCGGATAGAAGTTGGTTCTGTCGTCCGGTATCAAGTTGTTCTTGTTAAGTGTCTGTAAAAGAGAAGAGGAGATGACAGGCATGGCCACAGTGCCCCACAATTACTCTTTTCTACCTGCAGGCACCTCCCTCTCACCTGCCTTCTCCAGCACGGACTCTGCTGCGGCCACCACCACCTTCCCTCCGGCTGGGAGAGCCAGCTGGCACCTCGCGCTCGCTACGGCTGGGCTTGGGGACCACAGCTCCTGCCAGGTCTCCCTCAGTGGCCCTGCGCTCAGCTACTGCTGGGGATGGACCAGAGCCTTCTCCAGGGACACGGAGTCTCCTGGTGGATGGCGTGTTGTCTGAACACCATTGTCACACAAAGCCATGCTGGGCCTACATGAAGGCTGGCGATTAACGGCAGCGCTCAGCTCTAACCTCATCCAAAATGCTCATGGTGCAGCCTGTGGCTCCCTCTCAAACCAGGTGCCAAACGGCAGCTTTTCCTCTTTGGAAGAGCAGGTGTGCATTTACCTGATCTCCATCTCCATTGGTAGATATCCAGGTTTGGACCCCCCGATATTAAGTGTGTCACTTCTGTAAGCTACAGTATAAGTAACAAATCATGGTCACTTTTGGAAAATCTAAAATTACTTTAAAAAATTTAACAACCACGTAACAATTGTCGGAAACAATAACATAAAAAATTAGAACAACAAATGCCCGTTTTACCAGAGAAATTTAGAAATGTTTTTTTTTGTCCCTCCCCTCTTCCCACCAACAAGCAGATGTCCCCCTCTTCCCAGATTAAAGACCACTGCTATGCCAGCTGTTACCTATGAACAAGGATAAAATTACACCTTGTGTGTATGTGTGCAGTAATTCTATGGAACTTTCTCCTTCCTCACAGTCATCTAATTTCTGTGAATTTGTCTGAGATACTTTTATCACAGTTTTTTCACCTAAACCCTGGCTTAAATTTCTTATGCCTATCTCTGGTCTATGTCACTCCAAAGTGCACCTTTAATGGCTGTTGTGCAGGGAACTCACGCCTTTGATCTGGGAGTCAACACTAGGCATGCTGCTACAGCATCCTTATCTTCAGGGAACATTTAATTAACAGCACATTTAAAGAGAGCATGAGCATCTCTCCCATCAGGAGCAGAGATGGAGAGGTCTAATGAGCCAGCTAGTCCTGGGCCCTAATGGTTGTTCTGGCATGATCTGATGCTGCTTTAGTGAGGAACCACTTCACCTCAGTTCCCCCTTGAGACAAACCCCTCATGCCAGACCCAGCTCAGGGCAAGGTGAGAACTGATTAACTATGCTCGAGTCCACGAACTACCCAGCTCCTTCAGCTTTACTTGACCTACTGAACTCCAGGCAAAGTGGCTCCCTCAGCAAGGTGAGAAATCTTTGCCCTGCCTGAGGGCAGGTGCAGATGGAAGTTTCTGGGGAAGGCTCTGTCCCCCCCAGCAGCAGCAGGGTGACCTGACAGCAGTGGGCTCCCTAGAGATGGGGAGCAGGGTCTCACCCTGTGCATGTGCCCACTGCACAGTCAGGGTTCATCCACATCCCAGCTGTGACCACTGAAAGGATCAGCTACCCTGGGCTCAAAGGGTACATTTATCTCCCTATTTCTTTGTAATCAAATAATTTTACTGCATGGGGAGCGGGAGAGGAGGAGGAAGAAAAGAAAATGTTTTCTTCTAATCAGCAGACTGACAGCTACAGCTACCCTGGGAGTTGTAAGCTCATACAATTTCATACAAGATGTTAGAAAGAAAAGCTTTCCTGTGCCAAAGCTACCCTGGCAAAGAAATATCCCAATTGCTGAACCACCAAATAAGTTTTTCAGAAATAAGCACTGCCTGAAACATCTCATACATGAAAACTGGAGGAGACCCAGCCCCCTCCTGGTCTGACTGCAATCTCCCCCTGCCTGGAGTCCCTAAATTGATCCCATAGCCCAACACTTGTAGGAGCCAAGGACAAATATTTTCAAGAAATGAGAATTTGTGCCCTTCAATATGTAAAAAAGGAAGTGTCATGCTTGCTCCCAGTCACCCAAAGAAATACTAAAGTAGTGAGGCCAACAGTCTGCTGCTTTGTGCTGGAGGCTGGGAAACAAGGAAGCCAGCCTCAGTCCTCCAGTGCTTGCTATGCTTCCTTGGGAAATCCAATTAACTGCTCTGCGCTTCTGTGTCTTCTGGCCCAGCTTGAGAAAAACAAAGTTTGAAATTCCCTGTAAAAAGGCACTTTTCTAAGTACTACCACCAAGTATTTGGGGGAGTTGCTGTCTGGTGAGACCCACATGTGTTCACACTGGCTGTACATGATGGCTGCTGTTTCCTACTGATGTTCCTAGTTGGGATACCCACTGCTGGCACCGTAACTCCATGGCCACAGCAGGAAGGAAGATGAAGAGGCTGAGTCCCACTGCCACAGTTTCTCTGGACTCTCTTGAAGCTGGTCCAGCATTCAGGCCATGTCTGGGTTGGTTAAGATTCATCACATGACAGGATTACCACCTCTGAAACTTAGTGAGATGAAAATCCTGACCTGAAATAGCTCAGGACCATCTTGATATGAGAACAAAGACCTCAGGACTCAAGTTCTTTGGCTTTGAGATGGAAAATCTGTATGAGTTTTAACATATTTCACAGTATTAAAAACTAGCCCATCACAACAGACTTAGCAATTAACATGATTTGCATTTTTCCTTCTCTCTTTTCTTATGTTCATATAATATTTACTTAAGAAAAACCCCACAACTGGTCATTTGGTCTTTTTGATTTTATTTTTGATGGAGGGCTTATATCTTAGGGAAATGCCTCATAAAATGGTTTAGTGGAATTTATAATGCAATTAGCCACAAAGAATTTGTCTCTGGAAATGCTGCAATGGCAGTACTGTTCTAAATCAGCATGATCAATGTGCACTGCCTTAACATTTCCCCCCACAAACTTATTGTCTGTCTCATTTTAATAAACAGATGATTAGGTTTCTTGGCACTAGAAATTGGTTGATATTTTGTAGAAGTGAAATTAGGCAGCAGTGAAATTTAGAGATGTACACAGACACACTCATGCATTCACTGCAGGAGAAGAGGCTGCAGTTAAATTTCTCTGGGTTGATTCCTGTGCTGCTTTACTCAGAGTTTTAACCCCTGCTCTCATCCCGCAGCTCTTCACAGTGACAGCACAGAGATGGCCAACCACGTTCCCTTTGGAAGGCATTTCCCATCACTGTGTGGGTTATGCCATTGAGGCCAGAGCCTCGTGACAGCCTGAACTCACTGCAGTTCCTGTGGGATGGGAACAGCCTGCTGCACCCACGGATGCCCCCAGCAATACTGATCAGTCCCAACAGGAAAGGCGAGAGTTGTCACCAAAGTTGTCACCAGCCCATCACAAAAACCAACACTGACCAGACCCTGGCTCCCAGCCCAACTCCTGCCAGTGTCTCATCCCCTCAGCCCCCCTAAGCCAGGTCCCCAGTACGACCAGGGCCAAGAAGTGTTTCCTGAAGACAACACCCAGCAAGTCCTCCTAGGAGGGACAGTCCTTTGGTGCTTTTGCAGGGGCTTGTCAGTGGCTGCAGCAGCTAAGCTGACTGAAGCAGCCCAGCCAGCACTAGAGCTCACCAGAGGTTTCAGGGAAGGAAAAGAGACTTGCCTTTGCAACCTGAGCCCTCCTGCACCACTGTCCTGCACCCTCCAGGGCAGTAGACATGTCAGTCATCTGAGCACCTCCAGACCCTTCCAATGACACTTTTCCTGACACTCAACCAGTACCTTCCTCTTATTGTCTACTTCCTCCCATATCAAACACTACTGACTGCCCTGGCCAGCAACTACAACCTTTTACAACTCTATGCACAGTAAGCAGAAAGAACCAAAACCCTGATCAATGCTTACTGCTGCAAATTAGTTGTGGCAAAATCTCCATGCCATACACATGATGTATTCCAAACACCAAGGAAAATGCATTTCAGGTCATCATTTTGGTCCTATCCTGCCTTGAGAAGAAAGAAGCTTCTGGTATTTATGCAAGCATAATATTCCACATAAAAAGTGAGGCCAGACTGAGCTAATATGAAAACCTGTGGAATGCACTTAGGAAAAGTACTCCATTCCACTAACAATTATTTTTTTTACCTGCTTCCTCCCTTACAGTATGAGCCATGACATCCTGACATAGCTGATATAATTTGTTTCTTTTGGTCTGTTCACCACAGTTGAAGGGCCTGTTAGCAGAAGGAAAGCCACCAGCATGTTCTAACACAGCCAAGTGGATCACACAAAAGTAAGCCCAACTTCAACTGCTTTCTTTAAATGACACCTTACACAGTCTTTAGGCTGCATTGGCAAATGACTAATATAGTTTGAAAAAATCTCTGACCCAGGAACTGTGCTTTGTCAAGCAGGAATGTTTTCAGATGGACTACGATGGTTATGGCTTTAATAGACTGTAAAAGAGCAGCAGCTTGCTGCCTTATATGTGATCTCTCAACTAACCAAGAGATCCGATCTCGTTGTCGGTGCATTGCATGTCCATGCCAAGCACAACAGAATCCTGAGTATTTCAATATTTATGGGATTATATGAACAATCTGATCACTCATGCAAGTGTGCAGTTAGAAATGGAGGAGTCAGAGGAAGGGTCACATCGCAGGCAGAGCACTCACATGCACTCACAGGCTGCTTCTCCCAGTTACAGCCCAGTGCTGGGTGTGTTAAACATGACTCTATTGTACCATATGCACACATTTAACTTTGTTCAGCTTTCTCCATTGATATTTTTAGCCTAAGTCATCATTCAGATTTTCCATTTGTTCATTTTTCTCTAGCAAGACCTTGCTACTACTTCCCCAAATTCTGCCTCTGATCCAAATCATTAAGTCATTATCCACTGACCTACTTGCTTACATTCTCCCAGATGTATCAAAACATCTTTACATATAACAGTATGGGACTTCCAGTACTACTCCAAACTCATTCCACAGCTGCAAGTATAAGCTGTGTAAACATTTCTTACACACATAAACAGATCAAATGTTTCAATTTCCA